GGTCTACTGAAAGGAGCAGTTAATGCTTACATGTTTTGTTTTCTCTCTCCTTTTTAATTTTTTTTATAATTTTGGACCAACTTTGCATGCTTATATCTGGTAATGTGAACAACTAATCTGAAGACAACAGTATGCAATATAACAACCATTGTTGAATTACTATCATTTTGTTTAGTGAAATTCTCTATCATTTCTAATGGTTTGATTTTCTTTCCTTCATTTTTAAAAATTTTATTTTATTTTATTGAGAAACAAATATCAATGAGGCAGTTTCAAAGCCAGTGAGACAGTTTCAAAATAGGACATTTTCAATAATTAATACCTTGTACACTGTTATCTTCTTAGTGGTTATCTATAGTACAAGAAGCAGACAGGATATCCTGTCCAAACACTATTACTACAAATCTTTCTTCTCTTTGAATTAAGCTAAAGTAGCTGTGTATCTATCCTAACTACTCTGTATATACAAATACAAAATGGTCTGTACCCCTTTTCTTTGGTTTGATTTTTTGTTATTGATTTTTACAAATAAATAAATAAATAAAGATTTATGCTGTGCCAGCTCTGTCCCCAGGGCGTGCTGAGATGGCAATTGAGATTGGGCATGGTGGCGCACACCTGTAATCCCAGCTCTTGGGAGGCTGTAAACAGGTGGATCACTATGAGTCTGATCTAGTAGTGAGACACTGAACACCCTGTAGACCTGTCCCTAAAATATAGGGAAAAAAAAGATTTAAAATATTGATAATCCATGAAAAAGAAATATCCGTACAAGAAAGGGTCAGTGTCCTAGGGACATCAGTGTTCCCCAACCTAATCTATCACTTCAAGGCAATTCCAATCATAACCTCAGATTTTTCTTTAGATTGAAAGCAAGAAGAACATGTTAGAATAGGTAAGAGAGAAAATGTAAAGCCTACTGAGGACTAATAGTCACTGCAGAGAGAAGTACTATGAGAGTGCAGACTGCAGAACATCTGTGTAAGAAACACTCCAAGTCAACCAACAGATGAACTAGTACGCAGAGTCAGCAGAATTCAGCCTTCCAGTTGTGAGAATGCAGTTAAAATGCTACACACCTCATAGCCTTAGCAAAATCAGTGCTTCAGAAACATCAAAAAATTACACATTAAAAATTCTAGAAAAAAATGTAGCTGAAACTTAAAAGTCTTGGTTGAAAAAGACATTTCCTTCTCAACATAATAGTAAGGCCAAAACTATATCAAAAAGTTTATGAATAAACTTCAAAAATATCTTTTAGGTAGAAAATTTTAAAACATGACCATAAACAGAGTAAGCTGGGGGTGCTGTATGCAACACCTAGGCTGCATCCAAGATAAAATCCTTAACATATAAAAACACTTAAAATCAACTTCTAAAACATTTTAGAAACACAATAGAAGTATACACAAATGACACAAAAAGAAAAATGGCAGGGCTGGCTAGAAAGCTCAGCAGATTAAAGTACCTGCTTAGACAGACACAGGGACTCAAGTCTGATCCCCAGCATGCCGTGCCGGCCCCACCCCCAGGGCACACTGAGACATGACTGAGACTTGGCGTGGTGGCACGTGTCTGTAATCCCAGCACTTGGTACACTGAAAACAGGAGGCTCACTATGGGTCTGATCTGTGTAGTGAGACCCTATAGACCCTGTACTAGATAGATAGATAGATAGATAGATAGAGAGAGAAATGACAAAAAGACAAATAATCAATGAGTACATTACAAATTTTCAATATAATGATTTTAAAATAAATAAGAATTTTTCTTATAAATTAAATGAGCAAAGATGAAGAGGCTAGAGACACTGAGGGTGGAGGACAGTGTACTGTCTTATACCACCAGAGCAAGGAAAAACTGACAAATCAATTGGAAAGCTGAACCCACAGTGGGCATCCACTGAACTGGCCATTCTACTTCTGGAATTTCTCTCAAGAAAACAGCCCTAGGGGCCGGGGAGATGGCTCAGTAGAATAAGTGCTTGCCTGACAAGCACAAGGGTCTGAGTTCAATCCCTGGTTCCACCAAAAAAAAAAAAGAAAACAGCCCTAAAAAGTCGGGCTAATGGGCATACAAAGCACCTGCTCCCTGCAGCTGTGCCAACAGCAAAACTAACCAAATGTTCATCAACAGAAGAGTGGGTGCATTAGCAGGACATGTAATAACTAAAATATGGTATGGTTCATTATTAAAAGTTTTATAATATTATGATCTGACACTTCTTTTTTAAAGCTACATACACAATATAAAATATTTTCATATATGTAAAGAAAAGTCTATGAAGATATTATTGAGGGCCGGCCAGATAGTTCAGCAGACTAAAGCACCTGCTTAGGCAGGCCCAGGGACAGGGGTTTGATCCCCAGCAAGCCGTGCTGGCCGGTCCAATCTCTAGGGTGCACTGAGACAACAAATGAGCCTGGGCATGGTGGCGCATGCCGGTAATCCCAGAGCTTGGGAGGCTGAAAATAGGAGGATCACTAAAAGTCCAATTCGTATATTGAGATGCTGTAGACCCTGTACTAAATACATTTTTTTTTAAAAAAAGATATTATTGAAATAATTACAAGTTAGGAACTAGGAAACAAGGGGGAATTTGCATGTTCTGCTAAATTCATGCTTTCCTTCTTGAGATTTAATGGGAGTGGGTCACTACAATTAGAAAGTATTTTAAAATACAAAAACTCATAATACAATACATCCTACTTAAAAAAAAGTTATGTGTAAGAAGCCAAACAAAGAGGGGGACAGGACTCTGTATCTCCTGTTGGTCTCGGGAACATACTTTTTCTTTTAATTCTAGTAGAAAATTGTTCCACATTGAAAACATCACGTACACATGATCATATTCTCACACACATCCTTTTCAATCAAGAACCACTTAAGCACAACATTCATTAGGCTGAATGTCACAGACGGTGCAGAGAGAAGCTGAAACAGCTTGTACCCTGAAGAGCAAGAAACATGAAGGGACAAAAATCTCAAAGGAACAGAATAAAAGCCACATACATGAATATGAAACAGGAAACAGCACGAGGACTTAAACACTCCTACAAGGCCAACAGTGTCACTGACATGGGCAGAGCTGGCAGGGACAGACTCCAAGGGGGAGAGGGACATCTGGGCCTGCCTCCAGCAGATGCAACAGCAAGGCAGGGGACATGGAAACAGGGGCTGTAATCCTCAGGTGCCAGCCCTGGAGGGGGGAGCACAAAGTAACCTGGGGAAAGGCCTTGTAGAAAACCTAGATTTGTAGAGATCTTAAAAGCTGACAAGTGGAGCTGGGAAGACAGCTCAGCAGTGTAAGCACCTGCTTGGCAAAGGCAAGGACGTGGGTTTGATCTCTGGCACCGCATGCCATGCCAGCCCCAGAACTCTAGGCACAACATACCAGCCCTGAAACTGGGCATGGCGGCACACATCTGTAATCCCAGCACTGGGGAGGCTGAGACAGGAGGGTCACTATGAGTCTGAGCTGTGTAGTGAGAGCCTGGGGGGGAGGATAGTTTTTAAAAAGCTGACTTGTGACTCAACCTACAATACAACACACAAGGCTTCAGGCATGGAGGAATATCTCTCCACAGTGAAGCAGCAACTTTTTTAACTTTTGTATTTTTCCAGTTATATGACACTTCTGAAGTCAGCCTATTTTTTCAGTTTTAATTGGACATTTGGTATGTAAACACTCAAAGGAGAAAACCCAGCACTTACGGGCTCCAAATATCTGTGTTAAGATGCTCTTCTGATGGCTGCAGTCGATGTTGTAAGGAGTCTCACCAGCTTTGTTAGGCCTGTAAAGCAAGCGGCCATCTTTGGGATTCCTTAGAAGAAGTTCTGCCAGTTTCCGGCTCCTCCCTCGGATAGCAATGTGCAAGGGAGTGTCTCCTTTCTGTAAAATAGCAGTAGGACACAGGTACTTTCACACTTTCAAACAGAGCAACAGAACAATAGAAACCTAACTTTTCCTACTTGTCATGTACACACAAACACAATGGGAATTTTTATCTCTCTAATTTCTTTCTCTGGTTCACCAGCTTTTCTCAGAACCTCTATCTCACTGGCCCCCTACCAAAGGTAATCTATACCCTTAGCTCAAGGAGAGGTGTGGCAGGCTTTCTCCACACCGCTGCAGGCCAGGACTGAAATCCCTGGTGCCAAGGATGTCACCCACCTTCTAAGCTCATGCACACCCTCCTCACAGCCCTCTTTATCTCCTGTCACCGTCATGCTACCCTCCTGTCTCCTACAACCTGTGAACTCACTTTCCCAAGTGTCAATCTCCTTTCTTCCCTTATCCAACACTGGTCATATTAATGTCCACGTACAACACCAAGAAAGACTAATATTGAAGACAGACTGCTTCTGTCATTAAAAAATGTTGTTCTGCTTCTTCCTTCACAAGCTGTACTTCTCTGGAAGAGGATCAGTGACCTAAAACTCAACAGGTTAGATTCCCAGTCCTGATCCACTTAATCTCTCCGTGACACTAACGAGCATGACCTGCGGGTTCTCCTTGGCTGGCCTTTCCTCTTCTGTGCCAGTCTCCTGCTTCCTCCCTAGACCCCTCCCAGTCCTGTGCTCTGCTCGATCCCTGCGTGCTGCTCTGGGGGACACAAAGCTGGAAGAGAAGGTAGACCTGGCCTGATAGAGCTGACACTGTAAAAGGACAAGACCAAACAACAAGCTTAATGAAGAAAACATCTACATGGGGCCAGGGAGATAGCTCAATAGAATAAGTGCTTCCCTGGCAAGGGCAAGGGCCTGAGTTCAATCCCCTGTCCCGAAAAAAAAAAAAAAAAAAAAAAAAAAAAAAAGAAAAAAAAAAAGAAAAAAAGAAAAAGAAAACATCTACGACATGACACACTCCACAGAAGCGCTAACTCTGACCTCAGCTGTCATCTGCCCCCACACTGGTGACCTGCATCCCATCCCAGGAACCGCCAAGTCCCCATTCCCGGCCTACACCTCCTGCTGATTCTGGCCCCACACCTTCCAGCAGGCACAGCACCAGACCTCGGCACTCGCCCCACTAAATGCAGCGGCGCCAGGCTTTCCTGTCTGCACTGCACCACTCAGTGCCCTTCTCACCACCAACCCTGTGAAAGGGCAAACAGCAGCAGCACTTCTTTCTTTCTTTTTTGTACTTTTAAAGAGAATATAAAAAAAACAGGTTTTAAAAAAACATTAGAAATGATACAGAATTTCACTAAACAAAGTAATAGGAATTCAACAATAGCTGTTATGCTATACGTTATTGTCTTCAAATTAGTTATTTAGGCTACCAGATAGATAGAAGCCTATAAAATTGGTCAAAAAAGTTAGCGGCCACATTTCTGCCAGGTACTGAATCCCCAAAAGGGCAGGGAAAACATTAAGACACCCGATTAGATGCAGCAGGTAAGCAGTGACAGGCAAGCAAAAGCAATCCCCTTCATTTGTAAATTTATCCTTACAGAGTTCTCTGTCTTCCTAATTTTTAACATTAAAATTTCCCTTCTTCACAAGGAATTATAGCAATTCAGAAACAAAATTACTGGGGTCTTTTGCTGTTTCATTTTAAAAATCAGCATTACTTGGTAGGAAAGCCAGCTAATACACTGATTTTGTGGTCTTGGTTTTGTTGCCGCATGAAACATAGAAGGATAAATGGTAATTCTTTATAAATCAGCAAAGCCCAAGTCACACATTCACAGGGCAACTTAAAGATACTTCTTAGGGGCCTTCCAGATAGCTCGGAGGACTAAAGCGCCTGCTGAGGCAGAGTGCAGCGGCCAGGGTTCAATCCCCCCAGTGTGCTGTGCCAGCCCAACCCCGGGACTCACTGAGATAGAGATTGAGACTGGGCATGGTGCCATGCACCTATAATTCCATCGCTTAAAACAGGAGGCTGAAAACAGGAGGATCACTAGGAGTCTGATTTGTGTAGTAAGACCCTGTAGACCCTGTACTAAATATTTTTTTTTAAAAAGATATTTCTTCTTCCCTCCATCAATCTTTTCAGGGTCACAATCAATGTGAAGTAGAGAGATATCTAAGTCTGCTTAGAATGAGAACAAATTGAAACCAGGGATCTAGTCTACACAAGGGATCCAGCAACTTGGTGTAATTGCACTAGGAAAAATGAGAAACTTCTCTAAAGGGTGGGGTAAGGCCCAGCACAGAACTCCTGATGCCTCTATATGGGATGCATGGGGACTTGAAGCAGTGGAGCCCACACCCTCAGCCCACTTTGCATCCCACAAGGAATCTCTCCCTGCACACACCCAGACCAGCACCTCAGTCCTGCAGCACAGGGGCGATGCCTCAACAGTCCTCCTGAGCACGCTCTCGGCACATACCCTACCTTATCCACAGCCGACACTTTCGCTCCTTTATCCAGCAGCAGCTCCACCACTTCGATATTCCTCATCTTGGTGGCCTTTATCAGTGGGGTTTCACCATCCTGTGGGCACAGGTGAGAAGCGTTACCAGCTTTGCTCCTCAGTGTTTCCCATCATATAAAGCATGTGTTGAGAAATACCTCATTCTGGGAACTGTAAATGGCCTCAAGAAAACAGAGTTTAAAGACTAGTAAGAACAGCTCTCCCTTGCACCAGCACCCCACTGCGTGGAAGTCACTCTGCATCCTCACTGGGCACAGGATGCCCCGCTGAGCCCAGGCGCTGCTCCAAGGCGGGGTCTGTTCCTGCCCTCCCCACACTGAGCTCAGCCCAAGGAAACACCCAGGCGTGGGTGTCTCTTCCTTCAGCAACACCAGCAAAATGGAGGCCTACAGCCACGGAGGCACTGCTCAATGAGGCAGTCTGCCATGGCAAAGCCTCGCAGGGCCCATGATGGCCTTCAAATCCAAGACATGAAACAAGAAGCCACAAGTTCTGATTTTTGTGAGTTAGGAAAGACAAAAACCTAGGCAGAAGCCACACAGCATCAGAGTGGCAGACATGGGTTCAAAAGAAACAAAAAACAAGATGGCCAAGGAGCCCTGTGCAGCCAGCAGGTGTCCCAGGAAGGTCTCTGCCCTAGGTACTGGCACAGATGGATAGACAGACAAGAGGACATGAAGGGAACTACGACGTGTGGTGTCTACACCTCCACTCCCCAGGGGTAGTTCAATCACGTATTGCAAACATACTAATAAAAATAAAGATTGAAATAAACAACAAAAAGCCAGGATTCTCTCGGCCTCTGGCAGATGAAAACACGATCTTATAGATGCTCCATATTTTGCTTTAAGAATTCCTGCCATTTCAGTCCACAGTTCCAAATGCATTTCCCAAGGGAAACAGCCACAAAGCTCAACATAATCACCAAGGTGATTAGGAATAGTGCTGTACTCTTTACATGAGTTGAGGAAAAGAGGCTGAGGCAGCCGGGGTGCGGAACCAACCACATGCGACAGTCTTAAAAGAACTGTGCTCTTCACACCAAATGGGAGCACTGAAGACCCTGTGGGAAAGGATCAGTCCAGGACTTTTATTACTAAGGGTTAAACCCAGTGAACCCTGAGCCTTTTTTTCTAAACGTTTATTTCTTTTTAAATTTTGAGGCACTAAGCGGCTCCCAGCTGACTGTGAACTGGCAATCCGCCTGCTTCAGCCTCTGAAGCTGCTAGGATTATAGGTATGTGCACCACACCCAGCTGTTCCACAATTTACGAACAGCTGATGGTATGCTTTCTGAAAAGTACTTAATTAATGAATTGCACACTGTCTTTTGCTGTGAATATATAACTCCTGAAAGGATAAAAGGCTGCTCCTCAGTGTAATGCAGGGTATCACCAGTCAAAGCAGTGTAGCTCTAGAACTGAATGAGGAGAATGACAGCAGCAAGCAGCGCAAACAGCTCAGCACAGGGCACTGGCTGCTTGTGGGACAGAAGTGTCACTCATACCTTTGTGCAAATCTCCGTGTCAGGATTGCACTGTAAGATGTCTCTCACCATGGTAGCATTTCCCTTTTCCACAGCCCAATACAATGCAGTTTTATTGTCCTGTATGAGTAAACAAACAACAAATTGATCATCACATCATGTAAGACCCAAGGTTAAAAACTGCTATTCATGGACATGAGATGTCATTACCATTTCGGGCAAAATCTATTCCAACAGGCAGTATGGCAGGAAGTAATATTCATCTTTATGCTACTTGGAACTTTTTTTTTTTTGCGGAACCGGGGATTGAACGCAGACGCTTGCGCTTGCCAGGGAAGCACTTATTCTATTGAGTCATTTCCCCAGCCATTTTTTTTTTTTTTTTTTTTTTTTTTTGGAGGAACTTATTTTTGAGAAAAAATTTTTTTTTAAAAGCCAGGAAGACCTAATGTAACTTGTCTGTAAGAAGCAGTCCCAGAGGATAAAGTTAAGTCACACTTTAGTAAGGAGTTGGACTTCAGGAGCATGCTCTGGGTCAGAAGTGACTCTGGACAAGTCATTCTTTTGAAAGCTCTTTTTTTTTTTTTTTTTTTTTTTGGCAGAACCGGGGATTGAACTCAGGCTCTGGTACTTGCCAGGCAGGCACTTATCCTACTGGGCTATCTCCCCAGCCCTTGGACAAGTCATTCTTGTATGCAGACCCACACACTTATGTCTGTAATGCACAGTAAGGACACTTGCACAGTTGTTTCTAAAGCTAATGCACAAGAGCACACTTTACAAACACTAGGTGAGGCAGCACCCTGGTTAGCTTTCTTAATCTCTACCTACCCTGCACTCTACACTGGCTGAGACAGATGGATCCCTTAACATTCTACTTCATCCTACATGGACCTGAAAGGCAGAGATATGCTGCAGCAGAGAAAAACTGGCCGAAGTAGGGAAACAGGATTGACAGACTTCCTTGTGTCTAAAGTAGGTGATTAGAAGCCATCGTTAGCCAAAGTGTGGTTTTAACCTGAAAGGTAGTGAGTTCCTGCTGCTACCATGCTGTTCCCTGGACCACAATTTCCACGACCGGGCTCTCATAGTGAGTCAGACTGCACAGCTTTCGGGCGTGGCCTCCATAGCCCTCTTGTTTCCATGTCTCGCTCCTCCCTGCTGCACCCAGTTCTCCCACTGCTCCCATTGCCGCGCCAGAAGTGCCCAGCCAGCCTGCGTTCCTGTAGCTGCCAGAATCCAAGGCACCCTCACACTCAGCGCAGTTCCACCTCCTCCTGAAGACCGTGTTTAATGCTCTTCCTTCGCACCTCCGGACGCCTATGCTGGAACCTCTCGGCAGGCAATCAATGAGGTACCAAGCCAGGCATGGTGGAGCAGGACTGTAATCCCAACCCTTAGGAGGCTGAGACAGGAGGATCAGCCTGCATTTGAGGCCATCCTACAATGAGACTACACAGTGAGTTCAAGGCCTGTTTAAACTAGCATGACCCTGTCTCCAAAAAAAAAAAAAAGTGTACCATCCTGCAGCTTCACTTTTATATTTACAAAAAAGCATAAAAATAAACATGACTAAAACCATCCAAATTAAAATGTTTCTTAAAGAAAAGGGTCCCATGTTAACTCTCCCTTTGCATTACAATGCACAACTTTTAGTAATTTGATTAAAAAATGATTTTGAATACAACAGATTTTTTCAGAAAATGTAAGAAGAAAACCAGAGTATTAGACTAACCAAACACTATGAAGAACAAACTTATTTATCTAAAGCTCTTGAAGTACTGAACAAATTTAGACCTCTAGACACAGCTTCTATCTTACCTAGACTTTCTCCAGCCCTGGGGACTGACCTGTAGCCAAGCACCATGCTGCAGGCTAAACCTCCAGTCCCCAGCTACAGTTGTAACCCTTGGAGCAGCTCTGGGACAGGCCAGCAGAATGAGAACAGGAGAGAAGAAAGAAGTACACACACGTGGGTGGAGAAGACGAGTGGGAAGAACACCAATGTAAGCACCCTAACCTCCAATGCCACCAGCCCGCTCATGCTAGCATTACTCATCTCAGGATAGAAAGTAGTAGCAAAGGAGGCATTTTTTAAAAACATGAACTGTCTGGTTCACTTTCATTAGAATTTCACTAGATGAAAGACAGGAACTTCATACAATGGCAGTAAAGCATAGTAATAACACTACTATCCATCAAAGTGTTAGAGCTCTCACGGTCCTGTCCACAGGGAGCACAGCATAACCCTGATCTGTCAGCACACACAACACGCGCAGCCGCGCTGCCCTGCACATACCTGTCCTCTGATGTCGATATCAGCATACTTCTGCAGAAGTGCGCGAACGATTTCAACATGCCCACCTCTGACGGCGCCGATCAGCACAGTGTCACCGCTCTGAAAAGACAAGCCAAGGCCCATTAATGCTGAGAGCAAATAAGCACTGCTTCTTTCCAAGTTCAGGTTACTTGTCTACCAATAGCAGATCTGTGTTCTGAATATTTTTTAGAAAAAGAGTATCTCCGAATTACAGAATTGTTTAAAGTAACTAGTAATAATAATGCCCGACATTAGCAGTCCTTGGAGTAAGAAATAGAAGGCACAACACCTCAAAATGAGGAGTTCTGAAGTTCCATGATAAAAGTTAGAGACAAAGTACCAGGACCAGAATCTAGTCTCTGGGCTGGGGTAAAGTTAGCTCAGTAGCACAGCGCCTGCCTGGCAAGTGCAAGGCTATGACTTTGATTCCAGGTCCCAAAAAATAGAAAAAGAAAATGAATTTGATCTCTTTGAAGGCAATTTCCTGCTCAAATGTAAATTAAACAAAATGGCACTGTGGCTGTCAGCAAAGCCAACAAACACTAGTGTCCCTTGGGCACTTGACACTTGGACAAAGGCCCCATAACAAAAGCCACTGATTTCCAACAGGAAGGTGTAGAGTTCATACCACCCTGGTTCTACAGGTCTGTGCGGCTCAGGAGACTGAGTTGCAGACCAGCACTCATGAGCATCGGGTCTAGGGGCAGTCAAGGCCAGCAGCGCATACCAATGCTCCACCTGCACCGGCTCTGGTAATGCTCGTTTCTAATCCCAGCTCCCACTACTTCAGAGATTATTTTGTCAATGGTTACAGAATCTTATAACTCACTGCACGTTATACATCCATTACAGGCTTTGGGCAAGGCGAGCCCAGAGCTGTGGTGCTGTTCAATTCCAGGTGGGTCCCACTGCACTGTAGGTCAGGATGCCTGTCCCTGAGGTTCCTAAACTCAGCATCCTGATACAGTACCTCACTGCCACATTAACAGCAGAAACCAACCCCAGGCAGAGCAACTGTGTGGAGAACATTGGCACTGCTGCGGGAGAGAAGCAGTACATTAACCAACAGTTACGAGATTTCTCTGCATACAATGTGTCATGCACCAGTCTAGGCACTGGGAAACAAGACAGGTGCAATCCTTGCTCTGGGTGAATTTACAGTTTCGCAGAGAAAAACAACATATAATAAACTAGTATCAGACAAAAGCTACACAAAAAAGAACAGGGTGATGTGAGAGGAAGTGACCAGCCAGCTGAAGGCCACCCTGAGAAGGCAGACAGGAGCTGAGGCAGTGACAGCGAGGAGCCTCCACCAAGGCAGAAAGCATGAGGGCGTGCAGGGCGATGAGTGCACCCAGAGGGCAAAGGAAGCAAAGGCGCTGGCGTGGGCAGAAATGGGGAGTGTGCGGTGCACGTTTCCACAGAGAGCAGTGCAGAACTGCAGGCCAAGAGGGAAACGTGCAGCCCAGGGCGAGAGCGAGCCTCACACAGAGGAGCCCAGGTGAGAGCCACTGTTCCCAAAAGAACTGTGGGAGGGGAGCAGGCATAAGCAAGGTAATGAGGGGACACACTTAGGGCACCGGGAGAGACAGGCTAAGTGCAGAATCCCAGGGCCCTCGTCAGGTGAGGCGACAAAGACGGTGGGCAAACAGCTGGGCCTGGCATCACACACCTTTCATCCTGGCTACTCAGGGAGTGGGGCAGGAGGAGCCCAGGCTTGAGAGCAGCCTGAGCAACTTAGTGAGACTCCGCTTTAAAGAGTCAGTAAAAGGGCTGCAAGAGTGGCACAGCACTCCCTGCTATGAGCGGCAGTGGGACACTGGTCTCACCCTGCCTATTGGACAGGCCTTCAAGTGCATGTCTAAGTGAGAGCTCAGGGAGGACACTGGGGCAAGAGAAAGAACGCTGAGCATCTTAGGAATCCAAAGAGTAAAGGTGGCACTGGAAGCTCAGCACAATGAGTGATGCTGGCCAGGAAAGACGCCCACAGGAATTCACACCAAGGATGGGCAAATGCACTGTGCAGGTGTCACTCCAACAACAAAATCCCTAAGGCCACCCTACTAAAAGACCAACTTGAAAGGGGTAGAGTTTTTTGTTTGTTTGTTTGTTTGTTTGTTTGTTTTGACATAGGGTAGGTCTCGCTATGCAGTTCAGGCTGGCCTTGAACTCACTTTGTAGCCAAGGCTAGTCTTGAACTTACAAGGATCCTCCTGTCTCAGCCTCCTGAGTGCTAGGATTACAGGTGTGCACCACCATGCCCGGCCTATAAAGGGGTGGTTCTGAAGGCAGCAGCACACATCTGAGACATCTCTCCAGGCAACCTACCCGGTCTGGGATGTTCACATAGGTCCCCGCGTCCAGCAGGTCCTGCACGATCTCCGTGTGCCCCTCCTTCGAGGCGATCATTAAGGCTGTGTTTCCATCCTTGTCGGTTAAGTTCACATTCGGATTCCGCTTCAGAATCTCTTTGACTGACTGTGTGTAGCCTCCTTTCACAGCCACGATAAGTGCAGTCATTGAATTCTGAAAAGAATAAATAAAGCCCGAGAAATCAGTGCAGTCTAGAAAACATGATTTATGCATAACCAGAAAACTGATGCTTTCACAGAGATGGTCTATTTCTAACAGTTACAACTGAGAGTACAAGGCCAAGTAATCAGACACACTCTAGAAGTAGCTAGGAGGTGTGCTGTCAGCTCTTGAAGATACACTAATTCTTTTGAGTCATAAGGACTAGTAGGAAGTTTAGTTCTTTAAATGACAAAGCAAAGCTGAACTTGTTAAAATGAACAAATCAAAAAATAAATAAATAAATAAATAAATAATAAAATAAAATGAACAAATCTCCCTAAGACTCAAAATTAAACACATCTTAAATTAAACAATACAGTTGGGTTTGGCAGCTCACACTTGTCATCCCAGCACTCAGGAGGCTGAAGCAGGAGGATAGCTTTAAGTTCAAGGCCAGAGTAAACTAATATACTGGGACCATTCCAAAATGATATTAATAACCATAATAATCCACACTAAAGTAAGATAAATTTCAAACCAGGAATCTATAAGCAATCTATAATGAGCTCCACAAGGAAAAGATAAAGTAAAACAATGAATTAAGAGCTACTGCATATTTTAAGAAAAGTGTAATACAGGTTCTGTTCTTCAAATTGACCTAAATATCATAATTTCAAAATCTACCTGTCAGTAGTTCTTTAAACACATCTAGTCAAGCCAAACTGTCTCAAGGGAACAATCGCACCGCCTTTTCAGACCCCTCAGCAGTTGGTCCTCACAGAGATGTCCCCACAGCTGCTGATAAACTGCAGGAAAGGCCAGGGGCAGGAAGTGCTCCCTGGCTGCCTCCGCATACTGCTGTCCCTAAGCTGTGCCACCAGAACACACTGCCCAGAGGCCAGTGGCCAGCAGCTTTGTTCAGTGATATAGAAATGAAGAGGAAGCAGCTGAACCTGCTGCACAAAGACGAGAACCATGTCAGGCCGAGGCTCTGGCTTCCCAGAGCCAGAGTGTGCAGAAGAATCGTGGAACCCTCACAATCCTTCTCACATAATAATCACATAAAGAGGCTGGACTCCTTGAACTGTTTCAGCAAAAAAGATGCTGGTTTCTTTATTTCTCTTTCTTTTGTTAAATCCTAGTGCCTTGCTACACCCCTCGTGCTTTCTTCTTCCTCATAATTGGGGGGGGGGGTGAATCTCATTAAGCTACCCAGGTTGGCCTTGAATTTGCAATCTTCCTGCCTTAGCCTCCCAAATAGCTGGGATTATAGGTGTGTGCTACCATACCCGGCAGTTCCTGTATTTTTTTATTTTCTGTATTTTAGGGAAGGGTCTACAGGGTGTTCAGGGTCTCACTACTAGATCAGACTCATAGTGATCCACCTGTTTATAGCCTCCCAAGAGCTAGGATTACAGGCACACACCATGATGCCCAGTCTCAATTGCCGTCTCAGTGCACCCCAGGGGTGGGGCCAGCACAGCCGGCCATCCTGTATTTTTAAAATTTTGGTGGCTCCAGGGATTGAACATAGGGCCTTTGTACTGAGGTACAACCCCTACCCCTTTTGTCTTTTTTAAACAGGACCTTCCTAAATTGGCCAGGCTGGCCTAGAGCTTGCTATCCTCCAGCCTCAGCTTCCCAAGCCCCTAGATTATAGGCAGACACCACTGAGCCCAGTAGCTCCTGCACACTGTATGAGCTCAAGGGAAAAACAACACACAGACCTGGTGCTTAACAAGGACTGGTAACTGCTAGTCAGTTAGACATAGTTAACCAATTTGTAAGCTTTTTTTTTTTTTTTTGGTGGAACTGGGGATTGAACTCAGACCCTTGCACGTGCCAGGGAAGCGCTATTCTACTGAGCCATCTACCCAGCCCCAGCTTTCTTAGTATTAACATTTTCTGGTATTTTTAAATCTCTTTATTAGAGAAGGAAAATGAAATAAAATAAAAATGTGGAACAGAAACATCAAAAAGTTACATTAAGTTTTTAAAAGTATTTTCATAGAGCATAAAAATGCTCTATGAAAATACTTTTCATAGAAATCTTTTTTCTACAATTAAAGATTTAAAACTATTTGACTTGAAAAGCCTTTCAAACAACTTATATTAGGATTAATGAAGCTTGTCTTTAAACTTTTAGCCTGCTTAAACTTATGTTTATTAGTACTAGATCCTGAAAAGTATGTTTACTGTGTTTTTCATAACAGGATTAGGGTAACAGACATGCTTGTCTTTTCTATCTTAATATCATTTAAAATCTGGACAGGCATTTTCCTAGGTATATACTATTAAAACATTGTCTCTGTGAAGACCAAAGATGTTCTCCACTCGCAGGGCTCATGGCAGGGGTGGCAGCCCCCCAAGAGCTTCTGATGGCAACCACCCACTGAGGCACACGCGCCATAGGTCCGTCACTCTGGCTTGGGGTGTGACAGATACTCACAGCACCTTCTTGGTCCACGTCGGCTCCCATGGCCAGCAAGTGCTTCACACACTCCAGGTGGCCCTTCCGTGCAGCCCAAACCAAAGGGGTGGTTCCATACTAGCCGAACAAAAATTGTGTATTTTTAGAGAAATGTTTATTTACATCATTACAATTTTAACCATAGATAAATCTATTTCCCTCATTTTTTTCTTCTGAGTAGATGGTTAATCATTCATGCCCTCTATTACACATGTATACTCAAGAGTCATTTTTGCAATGTAACACAGGACAGCCTCTCATTTTTAACAAGCTTTGACAACTGCTTTGCCTACTTGTGTTCTGTTTGTTTGCCTGTAGGCCTAGGGATTAAATCCTGGGCCTTTGCACTAACCTGCATCTTTGAACTTTTTTATTTTTTATTTTTTGTATTTATTTTAGGGAAGGGTCTACAGGGTGTCTAGGGTCTCACTACTAGATTGGACTCATAGTGATCCACCTGTTTACAGCCTCCCAAAAGCTGGGATTACAGGTATACACCACCATGCCCAGTCTCAATTGCCATCTCAGCACACCTGGGGGTGGGGCCAGCATAGCAGGCCCAGGGATTGAACCCCCAGCCCCTGCACCTGCTAACAGGCACTTTAATCCACTGAACTATTTGGCTGGCCTTTCCTTGGCCTTTCTAAACTTTTTTTTTTTTTTTTAAATTTTGAGACATTCACACTAAACTGCTAAACTGCCCTGGCTATGCTGAAACTTGCAACCCTCCTGCCTCAGCCTCTCAAGGTGCTGGGACTACAGGTGTGTGCCTGCTTAGCTACACAGTTATTAACCTGAGAATGGCTAATGGAAATAATGGAAGTACAAAATGACCAAAAGAAAGGAAAAAAAAAGGACATTGCTCTTCGTGAAACAGACACTGTTCAGTAAGCAGGACTGAAGCCCTCACTATGAGGCACTGGGTCGTACGCTCTCTGAGCTGAAGGAAGGAGGCACTGAGTGCCAACGTCATCAGGCAGCAACACTCAGATGAGCCTGAAAATAAGCAGGAGCTCATCAGGAAGAGGCAGCGATGACACAGTCAAAACAGCAGGCACAGAGAAACGGTGAACAGCACAGTGGCCCCTGCAGTGTGACCAGCACGGTGACCTGGCAGCGACGGCAAGCAGTCTAGGAATCCACGCTGAAGGCAAATAGCAGCCTGGGACAGTGCCTAGGACCTAAGCTCAGAATGGAGAGAGAGCCAAACCAGACTTACACAGCAGTGCAGAGGCAGACAGGACCAACAAGAGGAGGAAGGCAGCTTCGACAGAAAACCCATGGCACAGCCACGCAGCCTGCATCCCTTTGTCCTCTCAGGAACCAGGACCGGGACATAACAATTACCAAAGGGCCACGCAAGTGCTCCGGCTACAAGAGACAGCTCTATACCTCACTAGCATGGAAAACCACAGCGCTGTGATCCCAGCACTTGGGAAGCTGAGCAAGAGACTCACCACAAGTTCAAGGCCAGCCTGAACTACACAGTGAGATCCTGTCTATCTCACACTCACATACACACACACACACACACACACACACACACACACACACAATGTCAGACTAGAGCAGCTTCCCAGAATCATGATTATGAGAGCCCTGAGGGGAGAATGGGCAGCCCCTGCTGACCCACCTTATCTGAGCAGTTGACTTTGGCTCCATTCTGTAGCAAGAGGTGTACTATGTCCGCGTGGCCTCTCCCGGCCGCCCAGATGATGGGATAAACGCTGTACTGCTGGCATAGAGAGGGGTGGGCAGGAGGGGAGAAGGGGGAGGAAGAGGAAGAAAACCTGTGAGGTAGACACTTGGAACACATGCTTGCTAAGTAAAGTATCAAGAGGTGTAAAAGAAAAAAATTTTTTTTTAAATGTTACCGCCCTTTCTCCAGTTTGGAAACACACAAAAGTGGCTGGCGACTACAATACCCTCTGCCCTACTACGCATAGGTGCCAAACTCACTTGCTTTCATAGTACTGACCCAGGGAAGGTGATTCTCCAGACAAGGGGCAGGGCTAAGGAGAGGACAGGCCAGCCAAAGGAGGCCGTGGGCCCAGCGGAGCGCTCACACCAACGGCACGGCCACCTGGCAGATGTCCCTCAGGATGCACACTCGTATGATGGGCAAAACAGCTGAGTGTTTCCAAACCTCCTTGGGGACTACGCAATTCTAACAAACGTTTGAGCTTGAAAGTTGTCTTATGATTGACAGAAATTGAGAAATAAATGCACAATTCTCATATGCTCTATGTATCTGGTACAAAAAGCCCTGCTACTGTGAGCAGTGGCGGCGAGCCTACAGCATGCTGGTTACTGCATTATTCTTTTAAGACAGTTTTAAGATATTAGTATAGGAGTCATTTGTTCTAAATAAAAACCTCAATAGTTGGGTGTAACCACAGTGTTAGCATTTTTTGATAAAAGAGTGGCTTTTGGGGTCAATTTGGGCACCATCTCCAAAAGGTTCACCATCACTGACCTAAAGCATCCCTAAGAAAACACAGTGTCTGTATCACAGAAGGCCATCTGCAGCAATGCTTACCAGACCGGTGACGCTCGGGTTGGCCCCATGAGAGAGCAGGAGCTCTACGACGTCAGTGCGACCTTTATAGCAGGCCCACATCAGAGCGGTCCATCCCCCCTGGAAGAAAAAGACATGGCAAAATGGATCATTCCCACGCACAAAAATGCCACAAATGAAGCTCTTTCTGCATATATCTTTATAAAAACCATTGCTTCCTAAAGGTGATGGTACAGCTTTAAATCCCCAAAGAAATATGCAATATAACATAAAATCAGCCAAATCTCTTATATGCATCTAGAGGTAAACTTTGTCTATATTAGAAAAACTGAAATACAGAATGCTGATGTTAGACTCTTCCATATTTCTAAGACTTTGGGCTATTTAAAGTCTCATCTCCAGCACACTTTTCAGGTTCCTAGCTGCTCTCCTTCTTGTACACATCTAGATTTTGTCCAGACAGGGACTCCAACAGACACAGTCAACTCTCGAATTTAAATATGCAAGTACTTCTTGATTTAAATACTTCCTTCAAATCCCTGAGCACTACCCTGGTGATCTATGACTTCAATGGGTCAGCAAGGTCATCAAATACAAATTCACAGCTGGATAACATGGTTCCTAAGCAATGTGCTCTTCCACTGCAATGCAATTCAATGAAAGAGTCTAAATCATTCTAAGACCTAAAATGTATTGTTTGCTTTTTAAAATTAGTGTCTGGACCAACTCATATTTGGTTCTGAGATTATAAATCACTTAATCCTTCTAATCCTGCTTTAACGTCATTAAACAAGGATTTAAAAAAATGCTTATCCTAATCTGGAAAAGTCAAAACTACAGAGAAATAAAACCAATCAGTAGCAGCCAGGGGTTGGGCAGAGAGCTGAGAGGTTGATCACAAAGGACACTGCAAGGGGACACCAAGGTGGTGGGTTGTGGGGAGCACACAGTGTTGTCGACAGGTCACACCAATGAACTATACCTCAGAGAACTGTTTCTAACAGACAGCCAGAATGTGGATGGGTGGATGACAGATGGATGGATGATGGACAGATGAATGGATAATTGATGAACAGATGGATAGATGGAAGATGGATCGACAGATGGACAGATGCATATGGCCAAACAATGGCTGGAAGATGGATGAATGACACTTGGGTGCACAGATGAAGAGATCAAAGTTCACATCACCGGTGTACATGGTGTCACATGCCTGGGAGCAGTGAACTGAGCAGGTCACAGCCCCTACCATAGGGGCCTCAAGAACAAAGCACAGCCTCAACCTAATCATGGGAAACATCAGACAAGTCCAAACAGAGGGATATCCTAAAAATGCCAAAGAAGGACTCTTCAAAAGTTGCAAGGTCATGAATAGACTTATTTAGATCACTGACAGAGCTGCCCATTTATTCAAGTCAAGACTTAGGCTAATGTTTTAACCTATAAAATGTCAGCCAGAACTTCTTAAATACTAAGCCCTCACTTTAATTTGGATAATATTCTTCAAGTAAGTTATCAATGAGATAAAATGTTAATATCAACAAAACAATACCTATGCACTTTAGCATAGGAAGATCAAGAACAATACAAAAACAGCTCTGTAATTCATTAACTCCTTCAGGCTGGTATCCAGTAAAGTGCTCCCCATAAAGAATCCTCAGCAGGCCTCCAGGCACTGTGGCCTATAATTCCTCCTGGATTAGCAGTCACTCCTCTCCCTATAAAAGCTGCAGGGTTTCTCCTTTCTCCCAGCCTGCTTGGTTGCAAATCCTTCCCTCAGTCACAAATTCTCTGAGGTTAAGCTCCTTTGACACTACTACAGGATATACAGGCCTCAGTTTACCTGATTTCTACTGTTTTAACACCACGCACAAGGATTTTAAATTTTTAACATTTTGTGAGCATTATTTTTGAAGAAATAGAAATAGGGAAAATCATAAAAGTTTAAGAAATCATTTTTGGGGGCCAGGGAGATGGCTCAGTAGAATAAGTGCTTCCCTGGAAAGCACAAGAGCCTAGTTCAATCCCCAGTTCTGCCAAAAAAAAAAAGAAAGAAATCATTTTTTACAAATTTTACCCAGTTTTTCCCGATTCATAATGTAGACTTTAGTTTCTCCCTCCCTTGCTGATGAAGAAGGATAAGGGGAGAAAGCCTCTGGACCACGCAAACCTGTGCTCAAAACCTACTCTGGGCTCAGAACAGCTCTGTTACTCCAGACATTCACCTCCCCCAGGGTCCATGTCCTTACCTGCATTGAGAATAAGAGCAACACTTGGTTTCTGGGACTGTTCCATAAAGTCAATGAAATGATTTGGGGCCTACCAAGCACCTAAAGATGGTCAGGCACACAATCAGGACCAATATTATTCATTCAACCTACAAATTGGCAAGGTACCTCTAATGAAACATAAAGAATTAGCTGACTCCCTGTATGTCCCATCCACCTTGGAACCATTGAAGTCAGAAGCCACCTTCTATTCCTGGCTGTCATATCTGTCCTTGGCCTAGGTTACTGCCAGCATTAGCTCCTTTCCCTAAACCTTTATCCAGTATATCTACAATGTCTCCTTGAAAACAGGCAGGTTCTTATCACTGTGACAAAAGCCCTGAAATAAATGACTTCTCAGAAGGACAAGCTGAATCTGGCTCAAGGTTTCAGAGGTTTCAGTCCATGGTCACCTGGCCTCACATCCACTGTACCTAGAAGGAGCCACTATCCACCTCCTGACAGCCCTCAGAGACTCCTCCATTCCCCAGGATGGGACCTCCAAACTGGAAGCATGTTTCTATACAGAGAAACAGCACCCACTTTGCTGTAGTCTGAGGCTTCAGAATTACACACACAAATCTTACAAAGTACAAGATGGTGGAATGCTGTGATTTCTTAAGAACTTCGATCTCCTGTACTAACAACAGCACCAGTCAAATCATGTACATTTTACATACCAAGGCAGGTTATCCACTTCCTTTTTCCCTCCACTAGGATTAATTTCTGAAAAGGCTCTCACATTGAATACAATGGGCTAGAAATGATCGTGCTCCTTACCTTTGTGTTCTAACCAAATACCAAGATCAAATAAAAGCAAAGTGATAATTAACAATCACATCTTGTTCAACTTGTAAACCATGCAGAAGGTAGGCTGGGGCAGAATTATATGTTATAATGAAATCCGTAACTGTTACTCTGAAAATTACAACTGGCAAAAATATTTTTAAACCTACATGATATCCAATCTAAAGGACACAATTTTCTCAAAGGTTCTCAAAGGTTCTAATACTAAAGAATAATGAGTTGTTTTTAACAACATTTCAGAATTTTAAGCTGAATTAAATTGAAAATGGTAATTGGGAACATTTTAATGTGTTTTTTTGTTTGTTTCTTTGTTTGTTTTTGCAGAGTCTCACTAGGCAGCTCAGACTCCTAATGATCCTCCTGCTTCAGTCTCCCCAAGGCTAGGATTACAGGGCCCCGGGGACAGGGCCAGTACAGCATGTGGTGCCTGGGATCAAACCTCAGTCCTTGGCTTGCCTAAGCTGGTCTTTAGTCTGCTGAGCTATCTCTCTGGCCCAGAGCATTTTAAAAGAAGGACATTATAAGATCTGAGTTTCAGACAAGAAAGTCATTTCAATGTTCAACCTCAAATCCTAAAACACACAATAATATCATCTCAAACATAAAAATAGAAGACTTCACAGTATCTGTTACTGTTAAGAAGAATTTGGCTAATTCACCTCGAATTTGAGAAAATATACATACCATATCCCGGTGCTCCAAGTTCACCCCACATCTGAGTAGTTCTTCCACAATGTGCATGTGCCCTTCCTTTGAGGCAGATATAAGTGCTGTCCAGTTATCCTTGAACACATATACAAAAGTGGTAAGCTTTAAAGGCAAAACCCACATTCCAAGGTGAGCAAAAAATAAACCTGAATTTCCATACCAAACGATCACACCCAACTGCCATGATCTGTAAACTGCCACTGTACATGTCTGAAACTAACCCTGAAGCTCTCTGAGGCACTTCCTACCTGCTCAGTCACCAAAACTGGCACCAGAGTGGGCTTACAGCTGCCTGTTCCTCCCATTGGACTGCAAATCACACACTGTGCATGTGAAAAGAAACCCTGGCCTCACGGTTAACGCTACAGCTGGCAAACCTTACAATACATCAAATGGAACAAATGCTACATCTGATTGGAGCACAGAAGCACAGTGACTCCACAGGGTGAGCTCAGAAACTATGTGGCAAAGAATAAAATTATTCTTCATTTTTTAAATGAAAGACACAAAAATACTACTTTAACTTTTATTCAGGAGAGTAATTTAATTCATATGATCATTAATTTTTTAAAAAGTGGCTGTGTGGTCCTCAGAGCAATTTCAAGAAAACAGAGAAGCAGGGGAAATGTGACCTCTGTGAGCTGATTTATCCTTCAGAAGTGACAAGAGAAGTGACCACATCCTCTGAAACATCATAAATGCACTCAGTATTTATAGTAAGTCACTCCATGGGGAGTCCATTAACACAAGACCGCTCCACAGCTATGCTCCTGGCAGCATCCCGCTGCAGGCCTCTGTGCTTGTGCACAGCAGCACCACCATACAGGGAGGACCCAGGCCTCGGCCCTTTGCCAGAAGCGAGCACTGCTCTCCTGAACTGCTCTCAAGAAAACAATGAGGCATGTCTGAGCCAGTTACTGTTGAATCTCTTCTTAAAAACAAAAGAAAAATTACAGAACAAGAAAGAGTAAAGAGTGAACCCCATGGGTACAAACCAGGTCTTCCAGGTTGCAGTTAGCGCCATTCTTTATCAGCTCCTTCACAATCTCCAGGTTCCCTTGCTCAGCGGCGATCATCAGAGGAGTCTGCCCACACTGGAGAGCAGAGGACACTCAGGACCTCGGCTGGGCAACGCACCCTGCCCAAAACCCCACGCAGGAGCTGCCACTGGGGCAGCAGCAGGAATGCTCTCGCCATTCACCACCTGCTGCCCTTGGACCCCTTGGCTTCCAAAACCATGAGAAAAAGGGCTTGTTTAGCAGCCACCTAGTCTGGGGGCCTCCGACATAAATGGCCTCCAGCCAGAACAGAGCAGAACAAACAGAAGGCGGTGCCCAGCAGAGCTGCTCACAGCGTGGTCTTTATCTCAGCTTCCAGAAGCCCTTGATGCAGAACTGCCTACCGCCCAAGCACTACTGGGCTCTGCCTAGGTTCTAGCTTCCTATTTCTACCTATTGGGGTACAGAGGTGTTGAAACAGGGTCTCTTCATGGAGCCCACGCTGGCCTTGATGTCGCAGTAATCCTCCTGTCTCAGCCTCCCAATTTCTGGGATTGTAGGCATATGCCACCATCTTAGGTCCAAAATAATATTTTTAAACATGTTGTTATCCTCAATATGCTAATGAAATATCTCATCTAAAAGTACTTTTAGGGGGCCTGCCCTTTAGCTCAGTTCTTTAAGTGGCTGCTTCAACAAAGCAGTCCGGTTCAGGTTGCTGTGGTTCGATCCCCATAACTCAAGCCAGCCAAACCTGCCCTGAAGGCATTCAGAGCAAAATAATAATAATAATAATAATAATAATAATAATAATAATAATAAATAATAAAAGTACTTTTATTTATAAAAATTTTCACTATTCATGACCATAGAAAGGTGCAATGTTAACTAACCAAAATATATTATATACAGAGGCATTAAAAATACAGGCATCATGAAAGCACGAGCATTAACAGCATGAATTTTATCTTTAGTCCAGGAAAGTGAGGAAGAGGGTAAACGGGCTAGGGTGCAAGCAAGCAGAGCAGGCTTACTGTGAGGTCTACAAGGGCAGGCATGATGATGCATGTGTGTAATCCTAGCACTCAGGAGGCAGAGGCAGAAGGATCACTAAGGGTTCAAGGCCAGTGTGGGCTCAATATTAAGTTCAAGGTCAGCCTAAACTACATAGGGGAGACCCTGTCTTAAAAAAAAGCCAAAAAGCTGGGCATGGTAGTGCACACCTGTGATCCCAGAACTTGGGAGGCTGAGGCAGAAGTACTGCTGCTAGTTTGAGACCAGCCTGAACTAGACAGTGAAACCCTATCTCAAAAAAAAAAAAGAAAAAGAAAACATATTAAGACTACCCAAATGTACATTTAAAAAACATAAAAGTAGTTAAAATGGTAATGTTCATCTTAAGCGCTTTTTTACAATAAAAATTTCATAAACAAAACTTTTAACTGCCAAGCACAGTTGTGCATGCCCGCAACCCCCAGCTATTCAGGAGGCTGATGCAGGAAGATTACAAGTTCAAGGTCAGCCTAGACAACTTAGGCCCTGTCTCACAAATAAAAAGATATACAGGGATGGAGACATAGCTCAGTGGTAGCACTTGCTAGTATGTATGATACCTTGGTTTAATCCTACCATCACAAAAAAATTTTACCCATCTACACATAGACATACATGGGCACATGCACATGCCCCTACAGGCCTGTGCACACAGGTGCACATAGATGTGTATAATATCATTTCTCATTCATCATATCTGCTAGCCAAAAAAAATTATACTGTCTTAGAAATATAGTTTTAGGGCTGGAGAGAGAGCTCAGTGGTCTAAGTTCCTGCCTGGCAACGACAAGGATCTGGATTGAATCTCTGGTACTGCATGCCGTGCCAGCCCTGGAATCCCGGGCACATGGTGCCAGCCACATAGACAGGGTGTGGTGACACACACCTGTAATCCCAATGCTGGGGAGGCTAAGACAGGAGGATCACTATGAGTCCAAGCTTCATAGTGAGACCCTGTACCCAATAAATAAATAAAAGATTTTTTAATAAAAAAAAAAAAAAATTTAGTTCTAAGGTATAGAATT